ATATATATATATATATATATATATATATATATATATTACCAATCCGCTAGCCCTGTAAACATTCCAGAGATTCACTGGAGTACAGATAAACTTTCGCATAAAGATGAATGTAGTTCATATTGGACAAAGAGCCGGCCCAAGTCAGCTTTTGCCTCTGGGTTCAGGTACACCAACTGAACGATATTTTACATACAACCACATTTCTGTACGGTCCTGTTCCTATCATGAAGTGATCATTCAGGTACCTACATATCAAGAGGCATAAGGCATGCGTTGACGTTTATTTCTCGAATATAAGTACACATTCGGGGAACCTGGGATTGAGAATCTGGTCAATTAACAGGTTGACGCGTCCGGCATCATCAATATCAACTGTGGGTAGCGCGTACCTGTCGTACAGCGGTTGCAGCTGCCACAGTTTTGTCCACCGACGACTTCGGAAGGCGGGTTAGGTAGAGACAGGAGCTCATAAATTGCTGCGTAAATACAGGTTTGTCAGTGGATTTTTAAGTGAGGGGGATTGGGAAGGGAGCTATGTATTGAATGCAATAGCTTGGATGCACGAGCGCCCTGACCCACAAGGAACTCGGTCAACTAGCGTAAACAGGACGTGGCCGACCCGGCGCAACCTATGTAGTGTAATTAGTTCATCTACTGCGGGCTCGAGTTATTTCTCCCGAAAACCATCCGACGTACAGCAGTATTGCTTTTCCGGTGTTCGCCCCAGACTCGGGCAATGCTCCGAAGACATCTATGGATAAACACTGAAAGTCTTCTAACGTCCTCGGCGGTTAGTGGCCACGTTTCTGACCCGTAAAGTAATGTGGAGCGCTCAGCAGCATTGTAAACTCGACATTTGACGGATAAGCTGGTGTCACGCCTATGCTCCAGGTGATGCAGGTTCATAAGACCTCCTGTGGCCTTCTAATTCCGGATAGAAAAATGATCTTTCGCGAGACCAATGGGACTGATACGGTTGCTTAGGTAGACAAATTCGTCTACCTCAATTTGCTCATCCACAACCATCAGGCTAGGGTTCCAGTCTACCGAGTCCTGCGGTAGCACTCTACAGTTTGTAGGCTTGAATCGAATACCAAACTGTGAGGCAGAATAATTTGGATTGTTTAATACTGTTTTCATTACCACGGCATCAGATCCAAGAAATGCTATGTCGTCTGCTTACTCGATATCGGCGAGCGAATGACCCGAGAACACTTTGACCCCACAGGCACTAGAGGTTGGTGGTGATTGTTCCCCATTCTTATCAGTGACGAATTCGGAGAGGAAAGGAAAGAGGACAATATTGTCTGCCAACAGTTGATGTGTGAACTCAGTCGAGAGCCTACAGTAGATCTTTACACCGTGGGAGTTGGTTTAGAAAGCCATAAGGAGGTTCAAAAATTAATGGGAGATACATTTGCTCCATATACACTGCCATACTGCCTGACGGTCCACGGAGCCAAAAGCAACTTTTAAGTCAAGGAAGACAACCACTTTTGGAAACAGTGTTCCAGAATCTTTCGGAGGGTGAAGATGCGATCGATGCGCCCTCTTGCAGGACGGAATCCAGCTTGGTCTTCACGGATCTGCCTAGCCGTGTTCAGCCATTCGTCGAAGGATAAGAGCAGAGGGCACTTTCGATGCCACAACTACCAGGCTGATGCCACGGTGATTTTCACACATCTGCAACCTTGACGTAATGGTCGGGCTTGATTGCTATGATGATACCGCGGGCTGCACTGGTTGAAACTCCGTTCGACAATGTGCAACCATGTCAAGAAGTCCAGAGGGGAGCAGTCAGACCGAAAGCAGCAGGAAAAATAACTGCAGCTCGTGGTAGATGAACTAATCATGCTGCAGATTGCGTTTGGTCGGCCACGAGCTCCTTACGCCAGTCGACCGACTCCCTCCGATGGTTCTTTTCGCACAGCCACGCGAAGGGTGGAAACGACCGCAGTGTGAAAAGCATTACTAACAAACTCAGCTGCGCTTGTCTTTGCCGTCTTCCTGGACGGGGAACCCGAGGCGGTTCACATAAATGGTTAGAGACAGCGTCAGTCACGCTCTCACTGCGCTGGTGCATCCAAGCTATTGCATTCAATACATAGCTCCTTCACTCAAAAGTTCACTGACAGTCCTCTATTTGCGCAGCAATTTATGAGCTCCTGCCTCCAATGCGCAGCTACCTAACCCGCCTTCCGAATTTGTCGGTGGACAAAACTGTGGTAGCTGCGACCGGTGTACAAGTACGCGGTACCCACAGCTGATAATGACCAACCCGATGAACAAAAAGTAGTCATGCTAATGAGCCCTACAGGACGAATGGTGTCTCCAACTGGAGACGGATAACAAATTAGCAGTTGTAACTAGACAATTAGACGAAGCATCTGCCAACCGCATTGTTGAAACTGAATAGGCACTTGCACCTCAGTGAAAGAAGTTATCTAAAGACATCTAATAGCGATGTGGTAACAGCCCAGTTGTGACGATTAGCGAATGAGGGTGTACTGTTTCCTTTTGTTTCAGTGTGAAAACGTACGGAGCAGAGAGGAAGTGAGTTAGCACGTAAACAGTCTAACGATGTCTTAGTATCAAGATATTGTTGAACGACGTATCCCGAACAACGCCGTACGTACAAACGCAGCCAACAAGAAAGGAGCTTGGGTCGGTAAGTTTATTTATGGTTAATCATGGGCAAAAGATTGCACGATAAAGCTATTTGTACCACGTCCTAATCCGATGAACCGCCCCCACTTGATCCCTACGACCTCTGTGATGAAAAAAATTCGAAACACTTACAACTTACTGGTCCTGATTTAGTCCACAACTAGAAACAGGACAATGCGAACGCCCATATACTATTGGCCGAGACCGATTGGTACGGTTAATAAGCGGATCTTTTTGACTGAACATGACAGCCTAAATCCCAGTTCCAATCGTGGTTGATGGGTAAGATGGAGCAACTCACGATATCCCAACTTTGTTGAGCTCCGATTAGCATTATTCACGCTCACGATGAACGATCGTAAATGATGGTTATTGGTCGTTTAAGTAAACGGGAATATCAGTCGGTCCCTGACAGTGATGTACTTGACAGAATTTGACAACTATTAAGTTTAACCATTCTGTGCGAGAATGTGCAAATCAAATAGACACAAGATTTCTAATACCTGTAGTAGAGAAGTGGAAAGTCAAAACTCATGGAAAACAGAAAAATATGTGGTGCGGTCCTACGAAGGAATGACCCCATTGGGTAAACATATTTGCACCACCGAAAGCTTTTTTCTGGGAACACTGTAGTAAGACAGGGTGGAGAGTATCACAAAACCTGAAAGCGAAACATGAGTTTTGCACGGCTTTGACCCGATTCCAGTCACTTCATCCTTCTGACATATGAGTGGACTGGATATACTAGTTCATTGAAGTTCACATATAACGAGGGCTGAGGGTCCGCCTACCTTGTCGTTAGAGTGCAAACCAGTATGCACAGTGCATACCGTTATCATACTGCCCGTTGGCAATGTCGGATTTGATTGCACAACACCAGTTCAATACGGGGAAAGTGAAAAGAGACCTCCAACAATGATGACCGTGAAAGCGAACTTAATCAGTTTCTGCATACAGCCTTAGACGTCAAGTGCACGTGGATCGACGACACGTCCACGAAAAATACTGCGAACGCCCCTTTCGCCATTTTGAGGATACAGCTGCGGCTGCCTGTATGGGCATTTCGACCAACAGTATACTTATGAAGAGCCCAAACACTGATATCGTTTCTCAATCCGACTTATTCCAAAATACTAAGTTGTGAGCAAGAGGAAAAAAATCCGCGAAAATCATCTGTCAAGGCTCGATGTGGTTAGTCTTAAAAACTGCAAGCCACTGTGTGTTTCTCCTGCTTGGAGCTCAAGCTGGATACATAGTAGAATCGAGCCACGTAGGCTTTCAC